TGTGCAGCATCCGCGCATGAATCTGACTTGTCGGCGACGAATGGCTCCAGACTGTGATTTAAAGAATAGACATAAAAAAACATCCATCAACCTACCCCTTGAGATGGTGGTCTAGCTTCAAGTACCATGTGAGGTAGTTCTTCGTTTCTACTCAACACGACGACATCTTCATCCTTCTCGTTAACACTATCAGTTCGAGCGATTGGGACCGCCTTTTCGGTTGACACAGCTTGCAGAGCTGCAATCCGATCTTTGATAGAAGCGCCTGCGTCGATCGGCTCTCGTTTTCCTTTGGCATCCAATTCAACGTTAACCACTACGGTCTTCGCCTTCTGCTCATCCTTTGGCGTTGACAACTGTTCAGCGCTGTGCGAAACTTTCATAGACTTTTCTATCATAGTCATTGGTTCAGCTTCGTCTTCACTGCAGAGAGAATACGGAACATCGGCATCGCTCTGAAAACACAATCACAAAACCGCTAAAACTCGTATTGGTACCTCGACGGAGTCGGTTCTCTTTCTCAAATCATCGACAGCCTTAGTAGATGGAGATTCAATTACCGTGATGATCTCTGATGAAGCAGGCCCACTTCCGTTGCTGCCAACAGTTTTGAGCTGGAAGCCATCAGTATCTTTGACACCAAGCTGAAAATATAAATTTAAGATGATATAGGAAACCGGCGTTGTACCTCAGCAAAAAGATCTTCATTGTGCTTGGTCTTTGCATCGAAATATTCGCGATCCAACGACGACATCGACGACTGTTCTTTTGCACAGAAAGCGTTCTCAGTTTCTTCTGTGGTTGTGTTGGCAGTTGCCGGCGCGGCAGCAGGCTTCTCTTTATGTTTAGCTTCTTGTTCAGCAACGAATTCTGCCAGCTGCTCTTTGCCGTTAGCAATTATGCTACTGTGAGTGGAAGTGCTTCTGAATATGACGTTTGTGACTTCAGCCTCTTCATGCTCTTCTGGTTTGGTTGACGAAAACACTTGATCTATTTTGTTCTGATTCTCTTGAATTTCTTCCAAAACTTGAGCGTAAATTGACTTCGAAGGCGAACCATCTCCTCTAGCTTGTGTTCGGCAAAGTTGACAGCTGTATCGAACTTTTCGATCAGCTTCTTGATTGGTGGCCCAGTGGTCGAATCTTCAGCCACCACAGTTGTTCTCTCGACGGGCACTGGAGGCGAAGAAACTTTCCGCAGCGTCGCGTGCACTTTCGCCTTTTCGGAGGCGTTTCTGAAATGGAAAGTGTTTGGGGAAGATCATGACCGTAGATTGTGAGAATAGTCGTTGAGAATCGGTTCGAAACGAGAAGCATAAGAAAACTCACTGTGCTTCAGGAACAGTTGTATTGGCGTGCGACACTGATTCGAAAACAGCTTCAAAAGCAGCAGTGATGGATTCGGTCATCACGATTGGTGCGACATATGAAGTTTCAGCAGCCTTGAAGTTGTTCTCCACAGTGGCTTTTTCCACAACCATTACATCTGTGACTAGTGCTCCATCAATATTATCACTTACTGCAGCGATTCTCTGCTCGACTTCGAAGACATCATCATCTAGCTCCATTTTGGTTTTACCATCGATTTCATCTTTGTCGATTTGGGCTCCTACTGGAGACGAATTGTCAGATCGAGCCTATAATGTATATTTTTTTAATTCAAAGGATTTTCTCCAACTTACATCTCGTCCAGAAGCCCATCCTTCGTCATCAGTCATAGAGGATTGCTGTACGAGAGACCGTTGAGATGAAGAGTTGTCAGACTTGCTAAGATCGGATGTTGGTCCACCAGTTTTGTCATCACAATCTGTCGAAATGGCAATCGACTTCTCTTCCGATCTAGCTGGGGAGACAGATTCCGAGTGAATTGGAGTAGCAGTGGTTTGTGTGGCGACGTCACTTTCCATGGAAGTAGACATCAGTGGTGGAATTTCGTGGTATTCGTATTGGTATTGCTCAGGATCCGCAATCAGGCGGAATCTACACATCATACTTCCGTCCATTGAAACCATGAAACGTTTGACTTTGGGAAGCTCGAACACTTCTCTTCTATAATTAGAAAAAGGTTAGAAACTTCTTAAATCGCAAGTTTCCTTACTTCGTAAGATTTTTGACAGAGAAAATAGCATTGAGCTCGTCGGCTGTAAGTTGGCGTTGGGTTTCCTTATGGTACACTTTTCTGAGATCATGCCAAGTGAACTCGTGACCGTTCTTCCCCAATCGAGAAACGGCTGCCAGGAAAGCGCCGAAGCCATCCTGAAAGAATTGAATGTTGATAAGAAAACCAAATAGGATAAAACTCACAACGTGTGGCAGGAACTTGATCGATGTTGTCGACTGTGTCCGATTCTTCTTGCTACCGACCGAAGCGGTGCTTTTGTTTCGTTTAGCGATCCTTCCACGCGCCATTGGGATGCTGAATGAAAGAGATGAAACCGAAAAATGAGCCTATAGGAGGATCAAGACAAATGCCAGGTGCAAAGCAGCCGGCGACTGTACCAGCCAGTACAAAATCGAAATAAAAGTTTTTTTCGAAGAGGAATCCAAAACATCTGTCATCAGCTCAACGCCCATAAAATGCATATCGGTTTTCCTATCTTCCCACACACTCGTGAAGAGAGAAGGCGTTAAAAACAGTGGCGGAATGGAAGGCAATAACACATTTAATCGAGTGCAATTTGGCATCATGCTCCTCACCTTTGCGTATCCGTCATTGTCGTTGATATAACTGCGGCTAAATTATGTAACAAAGTATTCGTTCACAACTCTGAAAAAGAACCAAGTGAAAAAAATTCAACAAAAAATACAAGACAAAAGCGGAAACGGAGGAAGCACACGATTTTCAAGGTATCTGATTTCAATTGAGTAATATAATAGGAGAAACCACTAAAATTATAATCTTTGAAGTTTTTCAATAGAGGGATCGAATACACGATGCGAGAGCGGTCTCTCAGAAGAATGGTGGCTAGATTTTGTGGTGAAGATAACCCAAAATGTGGAACAGTGCGAAAACAGGCGCGTGTTTCGGTCGATGTCCGATTTCAACAGCTGTTAGGGGACTTTTTTTTGGGGAAGTCATGAAAATTACAGAGAAGTTTCATATTTTCAGTGAAAAGCAACACAATTTAGTTTGAGAGTTCAAAATTCAAAATAGGCGGTGCAATTGAGAAGTGTGTAAACACCGTTACGCCATAAGGAACAAAAGAAGTACAGTAATCTCAGGTTTATTATTTTTCCATTACTCTAGCATGCAGCCATCGGA